TTTGTGTTGGGGGGGGGGGGGGGGAACAGCCGGTCTGTTAGCCTGTTTTAGCAATGTTGGGATATCAGCTTAAATCGGGTAGATCAGTAAACCATTTTTAAACTCGTTTTTTAAAAGAAGTGTTACTTTACAGATGCAAGTCACTAAAGGTGTAGGCATTAGGCATCTATAGGCTACAGCTGATTATAAACAATAGGCTATATATATATATATATACAAATAAAACTCAAATAACACAAATAAAACTGCGTTGATTCATAATTTCCCATGCACTGCGAGCGAGAGAGTGATGTGTGTAGACTCTTGACTATTCGCGCTCAAAGTTAAACGCTCTCATTGTAATAATCAAAGCCGTCGAAAACGCGCTATTCTGCCTTTATCGCGTCAAAAGCTAAGTCAAAAAATGTGTATTCGTAATAATACCTGTTTTTGATTTCCGCTGTTAGTCTCAGATGAATCTCACCTGTTCCTCCTCAGAAGATTCGAGTCTGAAGCGGCGCTCTTGCAGGTAAACTAGGGAGCGGCGACCCACCTTTCTTTTCTTTCCTTTCTTTTTTAACTCGTTCTCTCCCAAACTCACAGCGTTTTATGGTTCACAAGGACAAATACGCAACGTTCTTGTGGTGTAAATCGAAAGTGGTGTATCATTTGTAAGTTTATTCCTGCATTTAGCTCTAAACAGTACACCGACCATCTGTCACGCTCAGGGACAAGGCAGAGGACACGGCTGGCTGTGTTTTCACACATACAGTGCCTATGGGTGGGAGTTGTTCTGAACTTGTTTGGGTTTAAAGCACTGAAATGAGATTTGGAGGCCTTCAGGAAGAACTCCTTTGTTTTGTAAACGTGCCTGTGGCTGAGAGGCATTGTAACAGGATTGGACCAGCTGTCATATGTTCTCTTGGTTGTTGCGAGTAGACAAATAGAGGTACAATTACATATAGCTTATAGGCATATGATAGTGACTCAGTAAAAGTCAGCTCATAGTGAAAAATGTGTGTTCCCTCAATTTCTGAATTGAGCTCATCGTTATTCCAACCCGATCTCATGAAAGTGCGTATAAATAGTACGCCAAATAAAAACGAAAACTCCTGGTATTGATACGCAAAAAAATTGACTTTGGCGTGTGTATGCTACGCGATGGGTAGGTTTAGGGTTGTGGGGTAGATGCGTATCATATGCACGCCAACAAATTTCGTATCATATCCACGCGAAAACTGCGTATTATATGCACGCCAAACACATGCGTATCATATGAACGCCAAAGTCCATTTTTGCGTATCAATACCACGAGTTTTCGTTTTTATTTGGCGTACTGTTTATACGCATTTTCATGAGACCGGGCTCGTTATTCTCACGAATTATTCATAAAGCGGCATAAAGTCATCTGAGGCCCTTAAGATATATCTGAAGCTTAATACAGTGCTGGTTTTGTGGGAAACATTTGTCTGCAACTGATGTAGCCAGACTAACAATGGCTCTGAAACCTGATACAGGTGCACTGAGAGCTGCACTCCCACTGTGCCTCTCTCCTTCATCTTCAAACTAATTCCTAGCTATTCCCAAACAAGAGTGGAACTACAGTGATTCTTGTTAGATCTGCAAAGGCTTAGAGAGTTAGAAGCAATTACGCACACTGACAATCACTGCGTTCATCCATTTCTTGTGATATTTAAACAAAAGAAAAAAACATCACGTTTCAGTTAAACTTTGAGAGTGGCCCTGTCCACTATAACTCAAATGCTTTGAAATTAAGCAATGTTCAGAGAAACTGAGAACATGAGAAGGAACTACTAGATTCCCTGGAATTGTGTTATGAAACTGAAATGAGCATTCTATATTTAGTAATTTTTCTATAGAAAGATATTTCTATAAAAAGTAGGCTAAATATATCTCTCTTTCACTCTCTCTCACTCTTTCTCTGTCTCTGTCCTCCCTCCAAGTTTCAGTGGCTTTATGACAAACAATTTAAATGATCAAGGTAGTAGAGAATGAGACTATTTGAAAATGACAACAAAACCCCCTCTCTCTTTCTTTCTTTCATACTCGGTCTTTATCTCTCTTCTCCCTGGCTTTCTGACACATTTCAAGCTTTGGGATCATTTACTGTTTTTGAAACTGAGAAGCTGAAAACACCTGTGCTAACAATAGTAGCCTTGCAGCTACAACACCAAGGCTGACTCAGATCCCAAGATCTGTGCTAACAGTGTCCCAGGAGATTAACGTGTTCCCTTTGAAGTGTACATGCAACCACCACAAATGTATTCTGAAACAAATAACACAATTAACTCCTTAGCATTCCTGTAAAATTTGCCTAAAACGCTTACAGTGGAACACTTGCAAGTTAAGAATATTGTCTCATATTTAATTTCTGGTTTGAATTTGATTGAAAACATTGCCTGCTAGAAGTGAGATGCATTTATATCCCGTATTCTTAAAGAGACAGTTTACACAAAAGAAAACCTAACCCTGTTGTGACATGCCCTGTAGTTCTTATTAATTGAACTCTGTGGCACAGTGTTCAAACCTCTAAAATTTGTTCACACACAAAGGAATCGGCACCCTGATAACCTGTAAGTCACAGGCAAGTGCATTACAAACATAGTGAATGCAAATAAAAATGGTAACTGGATTTTTATGTTTTCTTTGGATACAGTTCGCAGAGTAGTGGCTATCATTCTGTTATGTACACCTGATTGCATAGTTAGCTATGTTTTTATAGGATGAGTTATAGACGTCTTTCATAGGCTAAAACACACAAGCTTTACCATATGCCCTTCCCTCGCTGTAGGAAAAGCTGTAATATCCTGTTCTGATGTCATGTAGGAGGGTGTTATTGTTAACACCCATTGTTAACCATTGGTGTCATTGTTTTCAGTGCTTTATTTCATGTAGCTCCAAAAACAGCTGAGTAACTACTCCTTAAGTGGATAAAATGTAACTTTGATGGTGATCTGATCACATTAAGATCATGTCTCTCTATAAATTCTGTTGAAAAAGTTGAAGTTATGATTTTGAGTGCAAGTTCATTTATAGTGAAACATCGTTCTTAACGGAAAAGCGTACTGCTTTGCTTGGATTGGATATGCAGCATGCCAACATTGCCTCCCAGTGGCCCACTTTGATAACATGCCTAAACATTTCCTTTGATACACACTTCCTGTTCTACTTCCTTCCCTCATAAGGTTTTATGCCCTGTTGCTTACCAATCCTGCCAAACTGAGATAACGTGTCAAAAATACACAAAGTTTAAATAACAAAAGTCATTATTTAAACCAATACAGCACTTCCTTTGTTCAACAATATAAGCAGACTGCAAATGTCTGTATACAGTAGTACGATGATATTCCATTCTGACTAACGTTCATACTTTTCTCTATCCAAGACAGAAGACAAATTTTAACATTACAGTGTATGTGAAAGGCAAGAATGTAATTGGGTTTAAACGATTTATCACATCCTTCAGCAACATCATTGATTTTCTGTACAGAAATAGGTTAGTATGGTTTAAGGAACTGATAAAAGTGAAATTTTGAAAGAGAAACCAATGCTTCAAAGAGGATTTGAAAACATGCGTTCTTGTTTTCGTCCGCAGACCGATCCTGTAAGGCTGTAATCTGTAAGGTATACATGATCTTCAAAAAATTTCAAGACCCTTTAACTTTGTTCATTCAAAGTTTGACTTTTCTAGTCAAGAATTGCACTTGCTGCAGTCGAATTTCAATTCATTTACATTCTGCTTCCCTAAATATATTCTGTTTGCTGGAAAGGAATAAGAATTTAAAAGGCATTCTCATATAGCTAAAACTGTACCTTTATTGTTGGAGATGAGCATGATGTGTTGGTCTGAGGGTTTGGCAATCCAGCAGGTGCTTTGTCTGTCAGTGTCGACAGGTCTAGATTCAGGTCCGATATGGATTCATAAATATTCTCAGAATCTGGTGATGGCAGTGGTTCTGAGCTAGAGCTTTCACTTTCGGGCTCTTTTGGGTATTCTGGCTCTGGAGACTTCATGTGAGGCTTGGTCTCATTTAGGTTCTTAATGACAGGGAGCTCCACAGGTTTGACAGGGATAGGTTTATGGAGGGGGTCAGCTGGGCTGAAGCTGGGCACTCGAAACTTATCAGGCTGCGTTTCACTGCGAGAGCCAATCAGCAGATTAGTTGCTTGACTCATCCTCTTCTTCTGATTTGATGAGTCTGAGGCTGAAACCATGTTCAGGGAGATAAGGGAGTCTGAAGGTCCACCATGTTTGTAAGAAGGGGGCTCATGTAAATCCAAAGGAACTCCAAATGTAGACATGCGGTTTTCTGTCTTATGGTAATTCCCTTTGGAGTGATGTCTAATTGTCACCTCATCTGATTTGTGGGTCTCTGCGAGGTCAGGCACCACAGGCTTCACAGCGGGGCCTGGAGGCTCTCTGAAGTCTAGAGGTGAAGGGATGTTGGCTGGAAGCTCCTTTACGTATTTAGCAGGGATATAAAATGGCTTGGCTCGTTCATCTTTGCAAACATGCCACCAATGATCGTTTGTTTTGGCCAGGAGGACGTACCGCTCGTTGGGTTTAATGGACACCATGTGGCCATTCCGGCCCTCGTATTCATATTCAAACTCCACCAGTACCAGACCCAGACTGTGTAAGGATGTCATCTTACCCTATTCTCCCCTTGAGGGAATCACGCTGGAATCAAGGTTCAGGAACGGCCCTCCTGTGGGTAGAAAACAAATGAGAGGATTATAAAAAGCAATTTGAGAAGAAGACACAAATTACTGTTTATTTGCTGCCTCACATTTGAGTCACGAGCAAAGAGCATCTGCTGTATAAATGCAAAAACAACAGCACTTTGGCTGACCTTTCTACTGGTCCAGCTGTTCAGACTTTGCCCAACAAGCCTTATTCTATCAAACTAAGATCATGCTGCTCCTTTCACAATGTTATATATAAAGTTTTATGAACTGTCACACATAATAGAAACAAAGTACACTAAAAATTGCTGGTAAATTTCACAAATACAAAGAAACAGCAAGTATTGATTTTTAACTTTTCACCATAGGAAAAAAAAATAATAATAAAAACTCTGAAATGGTAAGTTTTTGCAAAATTCACTGCTAAGTCATTTTAAGCTGAAAGTGGAGATCTCTAACCTCCACCTTTTGTCAACAGCTGATGTTTTAAGGCAGGAAACTTTGATGTAGTGTGCTGATATGGACCAATAACTGAGGTTAAATACCACAGTTCTGATCAATGACCTGGAGCAACCAATCTAGCATGACCTCCACAGACACTCAAAAAAGATCAGAGCACCTTTTTTGGAATGTTATATTAATTCAAATCACATCATAATTATATTAATTTTAATTAATATAAGTAATAAAGTGACTTTTAAAGTAATAAATTTATTAGTAGTATTACATTTATATATTAAATGTATATGTGTTTATAGGATTATATTAATTGACAGTTTATGACAATTTACAGAATACTCAAAGTACTTGAAGAGATTCACC